GTTTGTCAAAGATCAGATGGTTGTAGATGTGTGGCGTTTCCTCTGAGGCCTCTGTTCTGTTCCATCGGTTTATATCTCTGTTTTGTACCAGTACCATGCTGTTTTGATTACTGTAGCCTTGTAATATAATTTGAAGTCTCCAGCTTATTCTTTTTGCTTAGGATTGTCTTGGCTATGTGGGCTCTCTTTTGGTTCCATATAACGTATAAGGTGGTTTTTTCCAGTTCTGTGAAGAAGGTCATTGGTAGCTTGATGGGGATAGGATAGAATCTACAAATTACTTTGGGCAGTATGGCCATTTTCATAATATTGATTCTTCCTAACCATAAGCATGAAATGTTTTTCCATCTGTTTGTGTCCTCTCTTATATCGTTGAGCAGTGGTTTGTAGTTCTCCTTGAAGAGGTCCTTTACATCCTTTGTTAGTTGTATTCCTAGGTATTTTATTCTCTTTGTAGCAATTGTGAATGGGAGTTTGCTCTTGATTTGGCTCTCTGTTAGTCAGTTACTGGTGTATAGGAATGCTTGTGATTTCTGCACACTGATTTTGTATCCTGAGACTGCTGAAGTTGCTCATCAGTTTAGGAGATTTTGGGCTGAGATGATGGGCTCTTTTAAATATACAATCATGTCATCTGCAAATAGACAGAGTTTGACTTCCACCTTTCCTAAGTGAATAACCTTTATTTCTTTTTCTTGCCTGATTGCTCTAGCTAGAACTTCCAATACTATATTGAATAGGAGTGGTGAGACAGGGCATCCTTGTGTAGTGCCAGATTTCAAAAAGAATGCTTCCAGTTTTTGCCCATTCAGTATAATATGGCTGTATATTTGTCATAAATAGCTTTTATTATTTTGAGATGTGTTCCATCAATACCTAGTTTATTGAGAGTTTTTAGCATAAAGGGATGTTGAATTTTGCCAAAGGCCTTCTCTGCATCTATTGAGATAATCATGTGGTTTTTTTCTTTGGTTCTGTTTTTGTGATGGATTACATTTATCGACTTGTGTATGTTGAACCAGCCTTGCATCCCTGGGATGAAGTGTACTTGATTATGATAGATAGGCTTTTTGATGTACTGTTGCAATTGGTTTGCCAGTATTTTATTGAAGATTTTTGCATCTATATTCATCATGAATATTGACCTGAAGTTTTCTTTTTTTGTTGAATATCTGCTGGGTTTTCATATCAGGATGATGTTGGTCTCATAAAATGATTTGGGAAGGATTCCCTCTTTTCGTATTCTTTGGAATAGTTTCAGAAGGAGTTTTACCAGCTCCTCTTTGTCTGTCTGGTATAATTCTGCTGTGAACCCTTTGGGACCTGACTTGTTTTGGTTAGCAGGTTATTAATTGCTACCTCAACTTCAGACCTTGAGGTTATTGGTCTATTCAGGGTTTCAACTTCTTCCTGGTTTAGGCTTGGAAGGGTGCAAGTGTCCAGGAATTATCCATTTCTTCCAGGTTTACTGGTTTAGGTGCATAGAGTTGTTTGTAATAATCTCTGATGGTAGTTTGTATTTATGCGGAATTGGTGGTGATATCCCCTTTATCGTTTTTTATTGCAGCTATTCGATTCTTCTCTTTTTTATTCTTTTCTTTTTTATTAATCTGGCTAGTGGTCTGTCTATTTTGTTGATCTGTTAAAAAAAACAGCTTCTGGATTTATTGAGTTTTTTGAAGGGTTTTTGTGTCTCTGTCTCCTTCAGTTCTGCTCTGATCTTAGTTATTTCTTGTCTTCCACTAGCTTTTGAGTCTTTTTGATCTTCCTCCTCTAGCTCTTTCAATTTTGATGATAGAGTGTCGATTTTAGATCTATCCGCACTTCTCATGTGGGCATTTATTTCTACAAACTTTCCTCTATTCCAGTGTCTAGAGTCTTTAGAATAAAATTGAAACTCCACAATGCAGTTTACTGGACTCTGTCTACCTTGTCCTAGTTATTTTTTCACATTCCCCTTTATCCCTATTCTGACTCTGTTTTTCCAACAATCCTTAGCCATTTGCAATTCCTCCCCTGATCCAAGGTTCTGCTCACCTCCTGGCATGGAGTTTCGGGCTACTGCTCAGAATGCCCATTTCTTTCACTTCAATGCCTAATTCACAGTTGTCCTTCAATACCCACTGCTGATATTTTCTCCTCTGAAAATCTTTCTTTGACTCTGTCCTACTGCCCTATCTTATTTAGGCACTTCTCATCTACTTGCTCCCATATGTCCAGTAATTTTGTGGTGGTTGATCTCTTGTGTCAACTTGACAGACCTAAGGGATGCCCGGATAGCTGGAAAAACATGATTTGTTTATTTGAGGGTGTTTTAAGAAGAGATTAGCATTTGAATTGATGACTGAGTAAATAAGATCACTCTAACCAATATTAGCAAGCATCATTCAATCCATTGAGAGCCTAGCCAAATAGAACAAAAGTTTGAGAAAGGGCAAATTCTCTCTTTCTCTCTTTGTGATCTGGGTCATCCATTTTCTCCTGCTTTTGCATATTATAATTCCTGGTTCTAAGGCATTTGAACTCAGATTTTCACCAGGAACCCCCATACTTCTTGGTTCTCAGGCATTCAGTTCTCCTACTTCTCAGGCTTTCAGAGTCAGACTGAATTATACCACTGGTATTTTTGGCTCTGAAGCTTGCAGACACCATATCATGCAATTCTTGACTGCTATAATCACCTGAACCAATTTTCATATTAAGTCTCCTCTTATATATCTGTGTATATCCTATTGGTTCTGTTTCTCTGGAGAACTCTGAATAATACAATTTACCTCTGATATATCCCTTTTACCAACTATTTGTATGTGTCGATTTGCATACCTATCAATCCCCCTAGATAGGGAGCTCTATATTGGAGCATGCTTTATTTGTTTTAGCATCCCTGGTGCTTAGGACACTGTAGATGCTTAATAAATATTTATTTGTCGAATTGTTGGATAGTTGGAAGGATGTCTTTAAAAGAAGATTGTGAACATACCTCTTCTCTTTAAAAGGAGGTTGTGAACATACCTCTTCTCTTTAAAAGGAAAAATGCAACTTTTGGGAATAGTTTGATATCAGTGAGAGATGTGAGTAAAAGTAGACAGAGAAAATGAAGCCATTAAGATTTCTTATCTTTTTTAATTTAAAAGGAAGTCACAATGTTCTTGCGAAAGAGGAGGTAGAGAGAAGGGAGGTCTGAAATAATCAGAAAATGCAAGGCGTGGATGTTGTTATAGCCTGGGGGGGAGATGATATTGATGTTGTTATTGCTTCATATATATTGAGAATGAAAGCAAGTGATTAAGTTATGAGGGAGAGTCAATACTTTACCAGGTTATGATAGGTGCCCCCCCAGGAAACTGACTATAGTTTCTGCTATATTAAGTTGGCAAAGCTGAGCACAATGAACCCGTTTTTTACTTCCTGCCGTTACTAACAATTTGCTTTTTACATTCTGAAGACTGCCATTCTGTAGAGGCACCTGATTAAGTGAGCAATAAACAAAATGAGATAATGATACGGCATGCAAATGAGTCACTAAGAATTTAACCAAACTACAGTTCAAACCTTAGGAAAATTACTTGTGGCAACCCACATTTATGAGGAAATGGGGAGGGATAGGCAATGTAATGTAATCAGTGTTCAATGTGATTGTGTTATTTTAGACAGGAAAGTCTTACTAAGGGTATGAGAAATTTCATCACATTCAGCATAATGTCAGTCTGCCCTGTCTATTTTAGTCAGTTGATCATGTAAGGCTCTAAAACCATGGAGCTGAAATAGGCTTCTGAGATATGCTGATCCAACTCTCTCATTTTACAGGTGAGGAAACCAAAGCCTAAAAACACTTAAAAAGTGTTTACTTGAAAATTATTTTACAAGTTCTCCTTCTATGGTCTAGATTAGCAAAAAATAATCTTCTTATATTTCAAATAGTCCAGTCTTAGTTGAGCCAGATAGGACAGCCCAGTTTACAAAACCTCTGAACTCAGGAGTCACTGTTTTCTTTGGCAACACCACAAACGCTACATTTCTAAGCCACCACTTTCATCTGATAGTCATAATAAATAAATATAGTATCAAATTAAATAATGAGATGCCCCAGGTGTATTCGCATGTGTGTGTGTACAAATCAGTATGTTTAATATATATATAGTTATTTTTCTTGTCTTTGAGGGAGCCTTTACCTTCAATGCCTTAACCTGGTTAGCTTTTGTTACTTGGAATGAATGGCAGAAAGGAAAAAAAACTTTGCAGATAAATATATGAATCTGTGAGGGCCACAGTGAAATTAACTCTAGCATGAAATCTTCAGAAAACTAAATTATAGCCTTTCCATAACTTCTAAGAAACAGCTACAATCTCAACAAAGAATATATTGGGGTCAGAAATAAATGTATGAGGTTATTAAAATAATTTCTTTCATGTTCTTCTTCTCTTGGACTGTAGAATATGCTTTCAGGTAACTAAGAAACAGATGCCCATTTCTTAATTTTCTTCATCTTTTTAAAAATGTAGTCTGAGGAGAAGAATCCAGTCTGACTCTTCCTAGATTAGTACACCGAGGAAATCAAGTGTCTAGAGTTAATGGAATATACAAAGCTCATCCTGACTGGCAGTGAGGTTCAGGAAGCTGCTCAAGCCAGAAAAGGCAATTTGAACTTCAGATTCTGCTGTCTGTCCAGGTAGTTTTCTTTTCTGCTGAATCCAGATAATTCTTTCCAATTTTAGCAAACATAGTTTGTAGTATGGACTTCTGCCCAGGAAAGCTGGATGACTACCAATTCCTGCTTCACTGAGAGCCATCTATAGTTCTGAGAAGCTGTAGCTCGGTCATTGATATAGTTTGGATGTTGGCCCCTCCTCATCTCAAGCAGAAATGAGATACCCAGTGTTGGGGGCGATGCCTGGTGGGAGGTGTTTAGGTCTTTGGGGCACATCCCACATAAATGACTTGGTGATTTCCTTACAATAATGAGTAAGTTCTCACTGTAATAATTCATATGAAATCTTACTGTTTAAAAGAGTCTGGGACCTCTTCCCTCTCACTTGCTTCATTTCTCACCATGTGACACTCCAGCCCCTCCTTCACTGTCCACCATGACTGTAAGCTTCCTGAGGCCCTCACTAGAAGCAGATGCTTGCACCATGTTTCCTGTACAGCCTGCAGAACTGCAAGCCAAAATAAATCTGTTTTCTTTTTAAATTGCCCAGCCTCATGCATTTCTTTATAGCAATGCACAATGGCCTAATATAGTCATGAAGCCCACAAAGTAAAGTTGAAAAGAAAGTTTCACATGAAGAAAAGTATTCCTGAAAAAAGTTACCAATGGCATGCCTAAAACATATGGACTACCGGGTGACTTTGACAAGCTGGATCAATTCTAGAAAAACACTGAGGAGAGGACAAGGTAGGGTGGTGCAGGGAGAGGTGAAGTTTGCTTTGATTCCCTCCTAGCTCTGTCATTTTGCGATTACTTATTTTTGATAATGTGTTAAAATAATTTTTAAAAGTTTATTAAGCTTCAACTATATCCACAGTGTGCTAGACACAGTATGCAGCTCTAAAGAGGTATAAAAATAAATGCCACACTCAGAAACCTTATTATATAGTTGGATAAAAAAGTCAAGAAGGCAAGCAAAGAAGAATGTGATAAATACCAAATGAATTCTACAGAATAAAGGTAAGTGTTTTATTGGCTGAGATAACTTATGAGAGATTGAATGTTTCAGGAAGAGAACCATAGTACTTGAGCTGAAACTGAAAGATAATGTGGTAGAGATGTCAGTTGCCACTCAATAGCTGTTCTCTTCTTTTTCCTAAGAAAGCTGATTCTCTCCCTCTCTCTCTCTCTCTCTCTCTCTATATATATATATATATATATATATATACATATATATATATATATGTATGTGTATATGTATATAGACATTCCATGCTCATGGTTAGGAAGAATTAATATCGTGAAAGTGACCATACTGCCTAAAGTAATTTATAGATTTCTCTTTCTATAGTATATATATAATTATACAATCATATATTATATATAATTATACATTTGAAATCTTACTGTTTAAAAGAGTCTGGGACCTCTTCCCTCTCACTTGCTTCATTTCTCACCATGTGACACTCCAGCCCCTCCTTCACTGTCCACCATGACTGTAAGCTTCCTGAGGCCCTCACTAGAAGCAGATGCTTGCACCATGTTTCCTGTACAGCTTGCAGAACTGCAAGCCAAAATAAATCTGTTTACATTATATATAATTATATATAATTACATTATATATAATTATACATATAATGTATGATTGTATAATTATATATTGTATAATTCTTTATATATAGTATTGCATATATAGAGAATCAGCTATATATGGAGACTATTTTATGCTATAGTATATATAGTGTATACACACACACACACATTTATAGTAGAAATGGAATCTCTTTATCTTGCCCAGGCTGGTCTTGAACTGCTGGGCTCAAGTGATCCTCCTGCCTTGGCTTCCCGGTGTGCTGGTATGACAGGTGTGAACCACTGCACTTGGCCACTCTGATTCTATTTGTACGGCAAACAAATTAAAAACTAAAATTTCCCAATATACCATAAACCTAGTAATGGCCATATGATTAGGTTTTGGCCAGTAATATGTAAGCAAAAGTGTTGTGTGGACAAATGGAAAGCCTCCTTAAAAAGACCTGAATCAGCAGGCAGAGGCACCAGTTTTATATTTTAACCCTCTGTTTTTTGACCTGGACCTTTAATGTGGTATCTGAGCTGTAGCAGCCATTTTGAATCAGATGGTAATCTGAAGGATAGAAATCACATTCTAGGATAGTGAAGAAATCTAAGAGTGAGCAAACTTTATGGCTACAGAAAGGTGAAAAGGTCTACAAATATGCTTGCCCCATAAAAGTACAAAATTCAACAAAATTGTCTAAAATAATCATTTTGGAGGCAATGGAAATTGGCCACAGACAAAAATTCAGTTGAGAGCCATTTATTACAAAGATTTTTAACTTATTTATTAAGGTAAAAACAGTGATGATCTGTGGCTTTTGCCTCTAGGGTCATTCTCATTCCACCACCACTTGTACCCTTCTTCTTGCACCCTACCTCCTATTTTTTTCAACAAGAATGTTATTTTTACCCCTAAGGATCTGGCAAAAGAAACTATCAACTTTTCTGACAAAGGAAATTGACTAAATTTAGGTCAGTGGGCAAAAATCCATGACAGCATTGACAGTAAGCAGCAAACTTGAAAGGAAACAAACCCCATAACACTGAAAACCTGAGGCTTCAGTCTTATTTCACATAAGCAATGTCCAGCCAGAAACAAAATGAGGAGATTATGAGCATGAGAGGGCCATAGAAGGGCTAGATAAGCTCTTCCTGGTTGATTAAAAAACTATACACACACAAAAGAGGAGATCTAAGCGAGTCAAGATGAAAGTGAAAGCCAAGATAAAATTGGGAGCTAGCTGAACTTTGCATGTTCATGTAATGCTCCCCAAGGCACACACAGAGGCTCAAGCTGTTTAAGAACAAATACTGTGCCAAACATTAGCTGAATGCAAAGCTGTGCAGACAATGGAACAAGCACTAAAATAGCCAGATTTAACACAACAAAAACAAACTAAAATAGCAAAGATATCAGCAACAAAACATCAAAGTTTAAGTCTGGAAAAGTTACTTACTATAAAACACTCAGGCCCAGCTTGGGTAGCAGGCAACTGTAGTCTTAGTTACTGGGGAGGCTGAGGTAAGAGGATGGCTTGAGCCCAGGAATTTAAGTTCAGCCTGGGCAACATGGTAAGACTCCGTCTCTAAAAAATAAAAAATAAATCAATTAAAAAGACTGCTCAGGAAAAAAGTCAGAAGCCAAAGTTCCTAGAAGGCATGATGTAAATATTTCAAATTTAAACAATTAAAAAAAAATACCAACACATCTTATTTTTTGGCACTTAACCTTATTGCACTTGGCAGATATACCATTTTTTTAAAATTGAACGTTTGTGGCAACCTTGAGTTAAACAAGTCTATTAGCACCACTTTTTCCATAGCATGTGCTCACTTTGTGTCTCTATGTAGTATTCTGGTAATTCTCTCAATATTGCAAACTTTTTCATTATTATTTTATCTGTTACGTTTATCTCTGATTGCTGATCTTTGATGTTACCATTGTAATGTTCCAGGCACCAAAAATCACACCCATATAAGATAAGGAAGGAACTTAATAAATGTGTGCATTCTGACTATTCTGCCAACAGTTCTAACTGTTCCCCATCTCTCTCACTCTCCCCAAGCTTCCTTATTCCTTGAGATGTAACAAAACTGAGAGCATATCTATAATAACCCTACAATAGCATGTAAGTGTCCAACTGAAAGGAAGAGTTACACATCTCTCACTTTAAATAAAAAGCTGAAAATGATTAGGCATAGTGAGGAAGGCATGTCAAAAGCTGAGATAGACCAAAAGATAGGCCTCTTGCAACAGTTAGCTAAGTTGTAAATGCAAAGGAAAAGCTCTTGAAGGAAATTAAAAGTGATACTCCAGTGAACACATGAATGATAAGAAAGCAAAACAGGCTTGTTGCTGATATGAAGGGTTTAGCAGTCTGCAGAGAAGATTAAACCAGCCATATTTCCTTAAGCCAAAGCCCACTTCAGAGTAAGGCCTTAACTCTCTTCAATTCAGTGAAGGCTGACAGAGGTAAGGAAGCTGCAGAATAAACGTTTCAAATTGCAGAGGTTAGTTTATAAGATTTAAGGAAAGAAGCCCAACATAAAAGTACCATGCTGATGTAGAAACTGCAGTAAGTTATCTAGAATATCTACCTCAGATAACTTATAAAGGTGGCTACACGAAACAACAAATTTTCTATGTAGATAAAACAGTCTTACACAGTATTGGAAGAAGATGCTATCTAAGACATTCATAGCTAAAGATTTGACTGGTTTCAAAGCTCTAAAGGACAAGTTGACTCTCTTGTTAGGTGCAAATGCAGCTGGTGACTTTAAGTTGGAGCTAATGCCTGCTTACCATTCTGAAAATCCTAGGGCGCTTAAGAATGTTACATCTACTCTGTGCTCTATATATGGAACAAAACCTGGATGACAGCACATCTGATTACAGCATGGTTTGCTGAATATTTAAAACCCATTGTTGAGAACTATTACTCAGAAGAAAATTCCTTTCAAAATGTTACTGCTCATTGAAAATGCAGCTAGTCACCCAAGAGCTCTGTTGGAGATGTATAGAAGATTAATATTTCATGCCTACTAACACAACATTCATTCTGCAACCCGTGGATCGAAGAGAATATTTTGACTCTCAAGACATATTATTTACGAAATCACTTTGTAAGGCCTTAGCTGCCACAGATAGTGATTCCTCTGATAGATCTAGGCAATGTAAATTGAAAACTTTCTGAGAAGGATTCACCATTCTAGATGTCATTAAGAACATTTGCAATTCATAAGAGAAGGTCAAAAGATCAAAAACAAGAAAAGGTTGAAAGAAGTTGATTTTAACTCTCACTGATGACTTTAAGGGATGTGATACTTCATTGGAGGAAGTAACTTCAAATGTGGTAGAAATTGTAATAAACTAGAATAAGATATATGAAGCCTGAAGATGTGACTAAATTTCTGCATTCTCATAATATTAATAAAGTTTGAACAGATGATGAGTTGCTCCTTATAGATAAGCAATGGAAGTAAGTTTTTTTGAGATGAAATCTACTCCTGGTGAAGATATTACAAGCACTTCTGAAATAACAACCAAGGATTTTGGAATATCAGGTTGGTGCAAAAGTAATTGCGTTTTGCCATTATTTTCAATGGCAAAACCACAGTTACTTTTGCACCAACCTAATACATAAACTTTGTTGAAAATGTAGTAGCAGTATTTGAAAGGACTGTATCCAATTTTGATTAAAGTGTTATGGGTAAACTGCTATCAAAGAGCATTGCCTGTTATATAAATCTCTTGTGAAAAGAGGAGCCAATTGGAGAAGCAAACTTCACTGTGGTCTTATTGTAAGAAACTTCCACAGTCACTCCAATATTCAGCAACCACCCTCTGATAAGTCAGCAGCCATTTTCATCGAGGCAAGACCCTTCACCAGCAAAAATATTATTACTCTCTGAAGGCTCAGATACCTACTAACATTTTTTAGCAATAAAGCATTTTCAGTTAAAGTATGTATATTCTTTTCTAAAAGACCTAATGCTGTTGTACATTTAATAAACTACATTATAGTATAAACATAACTTTTTAAAATTTTAAAATAAATGTCTGTGGGTACATAGAAGGCATATATATTTATGGAGTTCAAGAAATGCTTTGATACAGGTGTGCAATATGAAATAAACACCTCATGAAGAATGGGTTATCCAGAACTATCGATTTGCAGACAATCCAACTGCATTTTAAAGTTATTTTAAAATGTAAAATTATTATTGACTATAGTCACCTGTTGTGCTATCAAGTAGTTGGTCTTATTTATTCTTTTTTTTTCCCTTTTTTAATTGCATTTTAGGTTTTGGGGTACATGTGAAGAACATGCAAGATAGTTGCAGTGGTACACAAGTGGCAGTGTGATTTGCTGCCTTCCTCCCCTTCACCTATATCTGGCATTTCTCCCCATGCTATCTCTCCCCAACTCCCCACCCCCCGCTGTCCCTCCCCTATTCCCCACAACAGACCCCAGTGTGTAGTGCTCCCTCCCCTGTGTCCATGTGTTCTCATTGTCCAACACCCACCTATGAGTGAGAACATGCGGTATTTCATTTTCTATTCTTGTGTCAGTTTGCTGAGAATGATGGTCTCCAGGTTCATCCATGTCCCTACAAAGGACAAAAACTCATCGTTTTTGATTGCTGCATAATATTCCATGGTGTATATGTGCCACATTTTCCCTGTCCAGTCTATCATCGATGGTCATTTGGGCTGATTCCAGGTCTTTGCTATTGTAAACAGTGCTGCAATGAACATTCATGTGCATATGTCCTTATAGTAGAATGATTTATAGTCCTTTGGATATATACCCAGTAATGGGATTGCTGGGTCAAATGGAATTTCTATTTCCAGGTCCTTGAGAAATCGCCACACTGTCTTCCACAATGGTTGAACCAATTTACACTCCCACCAGCAGTGTAAAAGTGTTCCTATTTCTCCACATCCTCCCCAGCATCTGTTGTCTCCAGATTTTTTAATGATCACCATTCTAACTGGCATGAGATGGTATCTCAATGTAGTTTTGATTTGCATTTCTCTAATGACCAGTGATGATGAGCATTTTTTCATATGTTTGTTGGCCTCATGTATGTCTTCTTTTGTAAACTGTCTGTTCATATCCTTTGCCCACTTTTGAATGGCCTTGTTTGTTTTGTTCTTGTAAATCTGTTTGAGTTCTTTGTAAATTCTGGATATCAGCCCTTTGTCAGATGGGTAAACTGCAAAAGTTTTTTCCTGTTCTGTTGGTTGCTGATTCACTCTAATGAGTGTTTCTCTGCAGTGCAGAGGCTGTGGAGTTTGATTAGTTCCCATTTGTCTATTTTGGCTTTTATTGCCAATGCTTTTGGTGTTTTGGTCATGAAGTCCTTGCCTACTCCTATGTCCTGAATGGTTTTGCCTAGATTTTCTTGTAGGATTTTTATGGTGTTAGGTCTTATGTTTAAGTCTTTAATCCAAGTGGAGTTAATTTTAGTGTAAGGTGTCAGGAAGGGGTCCAGTTTCTGCTTTCTGTACATAGCTCATCAGTTTTTGTCAGGTTTATCAAAGATTGTATGGTTGTAGATATGTTGTGTTGCCTCCAATGCCTCTGTTCTGTTCCAATGGTCTATATCTCTGTTTTGGTACCAGTACCATGCTGTTTTGATTACTGTACCCTTGTAGTATAGTCTGAAGATCAGTAGTGTGATGCCTCCCGCTGTGTTCTTTTTACTTAGAATTGACTTGGCTATGCGGGTCTCTTTTGGTTCCATATGAAATTTAAAATGGCATTTTCCAGTTCTGTGAAGAAGGTCATTGGTAGCTTGATGGGGATAGCGTTGAGTCTGTAAATTACTTTGGTCAGTATGGCCATTTTCACGATACTGATTCTTCCTAACCATGAACATGGAATGTTTCTCCATGTGTTTATGTCCTCTCTGAGTTCGTTGAGCAGTGGTTTGTAGCTCTCCTTGAAGAGGTCCTTTACGTTCCTTGTTAGTTGTATTCCTAGGTATTTTATTCTCTTTGTAGCAATTGTGAATGGCAGTTTGTTCTTGATTTGGCTCTCTTTAAGTCTGTTATTGGTGTATAGGAATGCTTGTGATTTTTGCACATTGATTTTGTATCCTGAGACTTTGCTGAAGTTGCTTATCAGTTTCAAGAGGTTTTGGGCTGAGACGATGGAGTCTTCTAGATATACTATCATGTCGTCTGCAAAGAGAGACAATTTGGCTTCCTCCTTTCGTATTTGAATACCCTTTATTTCTTTTTCTTGCCTGATTGCTCTGGCTAGAACTTCCAGTACTATATTGAATAGGAGTGGTGAGGGAAGGCATCCTTGTCTAGTGCCAGATTTCAAAGGGAATGCCTCCAGTTTTTGCCCATTCAGTATGATACTGGCTGTTGGTTTGTCGTAATTAGCTTTTATTATTTTGAGATACGTTCCGTCAATAACGAGTTTATTGAGGGTTTTTAGCATAAACGGCTGTTGAATTTTGTCAATGGCCTTCTCTGCATCAATTGAGATAATCATGTGGTTTTGGTTTTTGTTTCTGTTTATGCAGTGAATTACATTTACAGACTTGTATATGTTGAACCAGTCTTGCA